CTCCAGTCGTGCCCATTGTGAGTGTGGTAGCCCCGGAGAAGCTGTCAGCCAGCACGAGGAGGCGGTACGAGACCCAGGTACCCCGGCCGGGGCTTCCCTAGCTCTAACGCGTGAGCTACAGAGATACAAGCAAGAAAGAAAGGAAAATATGAAACATGTTTCTTGGGAATATTTTTCTTTTTTTTGGGGGGGGGTTCCGGTCATGGGGCCTGAACTCTGGGCCTGGGCACTGTCCCTCAGCTCTTCAGCTCAAGGCTAGCACTCTACCACTTGAGCCACAGTGCCACTTCCGGCTTTTTTTCTTTTTGTTTATGTGGTGCTGAGGAATCGAACCCAGGGCCTCATGCATGCAAGGCAAGCGCTCTACCACTGAACCACCTTCCCAGCCTGACACCCTTCGGTTTTATCTCCTCAGCTGTTACTTTCCCCCTTCTTTCCTAACTTAGCTCACATCTCAACCCTAAAGCCCTCTGCTCCCATAGCACAGGTTGACTGTACTGAGCTTTTTTTTCCCCCTTGGTCTGAGACTGGGATTCAAACTCCCTACCTGACACTTTAGCTCACTGTCTGCCCCTGCCCGCCCCACCTCCACCCCCTGCTGCACCCCGAGCCTTTGCCAGGCATCATTTCTACATAAGGAATAGGCAGCAGGAAGGATTAGTAGATGATCAAGATAGCCTCAGAATCTTTTTTTCCATGAGATCACAGGCCAGACACCCTTCTCTCTGAGGCAGAGGAAGAGCACATCCCTAGACACTGTTTGCAGTCCTCTCTGGGCCTTGTCGTCCCGTGCTGGTTTTGTGGAACAGAAGACGGCTTGGTTTTAACACGTTCTCCATTTCGTCTTACTAGGTACAAACCCGACTTCAGACCACCCTTGCCAACTTACATCAGAAAAGCAGTGAAATTGAAATTTTGGCTGTAAGTCATTCTTTATCACTGTCCACACTGCCTGGTGCAGCCCTCGGCACTCAGGGCTTTTTGTGTCAGCAGACTGGGTTGTTCCTGATGTGAATCACACACAAATCTAAATGGATAAAAACTGGGGGAGATGGAAGATTTTGTTGGTGTTGCTTCTCTTCTTTCTTCCTCTGAAACAGGGGGAGGTGGGGGATCATTTTTCTATTTCAGATTGTTCCTTTCTAAGCCTATGGCAAGTACCTGCAGCAGCATCAAAGCCTTGGGGTGCAGTGCATGGGTGTGGGCCACGGCCCCCACTGCTTCTTAGCCCAGCTATGCTGAGATGTTATCGCTGTGTGGTGTAAGTTGTAGCACAGTAGCATTTCACACGCTGCCAGCCATGCAGCTCCCCATCCAAATGAAGCATCTCATGTCAGCAAGCCTGCTTTGAATCCTCCAGCAGGTGACGGGCTTTTCTTGTGTATTAACAGGTAGATCTGCCCAAAGAAACAATCCTGCAGTTCTTATCGCTGGAGGTAGGTGATGTGAACCATGCTGTACTGTGTCCTTTGCTGTTAATTTGCCAAAAGAAAGTTGAAAATGGTATTCAGTTTTGTAACAGATACTACTTGTCTGGCAGCACCATGAATTTCATAATGTTGGCCCTTTTATGTATTAATTAGTCCTAAATTCATGTCACCCAGCTAGTAAGTAACTACACCAGGATTCAGTCCTATGCAGAATAGCAGATCTACATTTTTATCTTATAATCTTTTTTTTTTAATTAGATAACTTTTATTTTCTTTTTTTTTTTTTTCTTTTTTTTTTGCTTATGTGGTGCTGAGGAATCAAACCCAGGGCCTCAGGCATGCAAGGCAAGCGCTCTACCACTGAGCCACTTTCCCAGCCCCTATCTTATAATCTTAGAATTATCCTTATCTCAAAATTGAAAAGAAGTTACCACTTAGGCACAGAGCGTTTCATGAGGTTAAATTCAGGGCTGCAGTTCAGCATGAAATGTGTTTTGTCCTGTTGAGGCTTCACAGCTGATAACATCATCCCAGATAAGGAAATTCACTTGTAGATAAGAACTACACTGATGTGTGTGTGTGTGTGTGTGTGTGTGTGTGTGTGTGTGTGTGTGTGTGTGTGTGTGTGTGTTATATAACAAGAACATACTTTTATCATCAAATAGCCTAAATAAGAACTTTCAGCCAGGCATTAGTGGCTCATACCTATAATCCTAGCTACTAAGAAAGCTGAGATCTGAGAATGAAGCCAGCCTGGGCAGAAAAGCCTGTGAGTCTCTTATCTCCAGTTAATCACAGAAAAAACCTGGTGCTGTAGCTCTAGTGGTCGAGTGCTAGCCTTAAGTAAAAGGAGCTTAGGGACAGTGTCCAGGCCCAGAGTTCAAGGACCTACCAGGACCAGCAAAAAGATTGATGCAGATTCCCTGCCAGTTCTACTCCCCATACCTGCCTGGCAATCCGAAGGGAAGAACGGCATTAGCATTCCAATGAGATAAAGAACCTCGCTGCCATGTTGCTAAGTCTCTCTGTCTGTCTCATCCTAGTGGGATGGAGATGAACAGGCATTTAACATGACTGTGAAGCAGCTGCTATCTCGCCTGCCAAAGCAAAGATACCTCAAATTAGTCTGTGATGAAATTTATAACATCAAAGTTGAAAAAAAGTAAGTGATCTCTTAAGTCTTACAGGTTTCACATGTCTAAGGACAGAAAACAGATATATGTTGCCACCAAGTGCAGAATCTGGACACCTGCTCCCTCAAAAAAAAAAAAAAAGACCTCACTATAAAGCAAGACTGTATGGGGTGGGGTGGGAGGGCAAGAGGGTGATGGGCAGTTGTGGCAGAGTACTTTATTATGCTCATTAAAGCTTTTGTTTAAAAGTGGAGACAATAGCCAGGTGCTGGTGGATCATGCCCGTAATCCTAGCTACTCAGGAGGCTGAGATCTAAGGATCTTGGTTCAAAGCCAGACTGAGCAGGAAAGTCCGTGACACTTTTTATTTTTTTTATTTTTTGTGGGTCGTGGGGCTTAAACTCGCTTAGGCACTGACCCTGCCCTCTTCAGCTCAAGGCCAGAGCTCTACCCTTGAGCTACAGCGCCACTTCGTTTTCCAGTGATTTATTGGAGATAAGAGTCTCACAGACTTTCCTGCCCAGGCTGGCTTTGAACCGTGATCCTCGGATCTCAGCCTCCTGAGTAGCTAGGATTACAGGCGTGAGCTACTAGCGCCCGGCTCCATGACACTCTATCTCCAATGAACCTCCAAAAAGCAAAAAGTGGAGCTGTGGTTCAAGTGGCTTAACACTAGTCTTGAGCACAAAAGCAAAGACCTTTATGTTCTTTTCCTATGCTTTAAAAAACAGTTTATGGAACAGCTTCAGAATGAAGTGTGTGTCATTGTCTTGTTACACTATAGCTGGCAACCAGCTCATCAGTCTTAACCAGTGTCAACACAGCAAGCCTGAGCAGTCATCACCTACTTCACTCACTTGTAGATGTTTGCTTTACATCATGTTATCAAATGTAACCTTTGGTGTTACTGTTCCACTCAAAGGGTGACCAGGAGGCCCGGGAGGGACTATGGGTTTCCTTACCCAGGACCTTTCATTGTAGACTAATGACCGTCACAGCTTGTCAGACTTAGTGGCTCACTTTCAATCCCTTTATAACAAAGCTCTGTATTCTAAAAATACTTAACTGTGCTTCACCTACAAAACCTCAGTCAGTTATGTAATCGACTTTTCTTTTGCAGGGTTTCTGTGCTGTTCCTGTATAGCTACAGAGATGACTACTACAGAATTTTATTTTAACCTTAAAGAACTGTCATTACAAAGTTCAAATCGACAGGGAACTCACACTAGAATAATGAATGGAATGTTGTACATTCAATATCATTTTCAATTAACTTTGAATTCTAGGAGGCTGGCCTGCCAAGTTGAGCTTTTGTCATTTTTTCATATGTAATATATTATAAATTTATCTTTTTGGATATAATAAATGCTTTTATATAACTGCTGCTTTTCTACTGGAAATGTATTAACACTATAGATCTTACAGAGTTGAGACACAAGAAGTCTTGCTCTTCCTTAGACCCCATGTGAAAGCACACAAAAGTACTAATTTTTTTTTTTTCCAAATTGGTTAAAAAGACCAAAAACTGCCAGGTGCCGGTAGCTCACACTTGTCATCCTAGCTACTCAGGAGGCTGAGGTCTGAGGATCGAGGTTCAAAGCCAGCCCAGGCAGGAAAGTCCTTGAGACTCTTATCTCCAATAAACCAGAAAACTGGAAGTGGCGCTGTGGCTCAAGTGGTAGCGCTTACCTTGAGCTGAAGAGCTGAGGGACAGCGCCCAGTCCCAGAGTTCAAGCCCCACAACAGACAAAAAAAAAGGGACAAAAAAAATCATTAACCTTGAGATTTGTATTGTTTTGTTTCTTGGGGGAGAAAACAGCTATTATTGGGTTTTTTTGAAACGAGGTCTCACCGAGTAGCCCAAGCCAACACGAGTTCTTGATCTTACTGCTCAGCCTGTGGAGGACGAGGATTACAGGTGTCCACTACCACACCCAGCAGGATCTCCAGTTTAACAACTTCACACCATGGTTATCCTAGTGCTGGTAAGCACACTCACTTACATTTGCTAAAGGAACTATGATGGTGAACTTGCACGAGCAGGTAAGGGTTCCCATGAGATAACATGACTTTTCATGAAACCGTCAGTTTTTGTTTTTTTTTTGTCGGCCGTCGGGCTTGTACTCTGGGCCTGGGCAGTCCCTCAGCTCTTCAGCTCAAGGCTAGCGCTCTACCACTTGAGCCACAGCGCCACTTCCAGTTTTCTAGTGGTTTATTGGAGATAAAGAGTCTCACAGACTTTCCTGCCCGGGCTGGCTCTGAACCGTGATCCTCAGATCTCAGCCTCCTGAGTAGCTAGAATTACAGGTGTGAGCCACCGGCGCCCAGCCTGTCAGTTCTTTACAAGGCTTAAAACCTGTTCATGAATGTCAGTACTCCAGAATTTGTAGTTGCTACCAGAACTATTAAAATGGGGTGGGAAGAGGAATAAGAGACAATCAGTACTAAACAGGTTTAATGATACATTGCTCTTCACAGAGAAATTTCACAGGAATACACACCCATGCAGTGCAGATCCCAAATACACTGGCTTCCCACCTAAAAACATCCCAGCCTTTCTCCCAGGACAACAGCTGCAGTGGAGGAATGAGAAACGTAACTTTGTGGGGAAAAAGGAGAAATAGCAGTTCTGTAGTTCTCTGGTAATGGTGGAGTCAGGTGGCCTTCACTGGGCTGTCTTGGCCTTCTTATTCTTGTTCTTCTTGTCTCTCTTCTTCAGCCCATCCATGTTAGCTCTGAGCAGGTTTGAGTAAGCCTGGAAGACAGAGCACAAGCAGAGTGAGCAGAGGGCAAGCTGACAGGACAGCCACCCTCTTTCCAGTGGACTCAGGCAGCACCCAGGGGCTGCAGGGTGGAAACCACATCCACATGAAACTTGCATTACTGCAGCTCTGCAACACGCCCTGCCCCACTGTGAGATGCAGGCTTTAAGAAAAAGGAAAGGGGGCTGGGAAGGTGGCTCAGTGGTAGAATGCTTGCCTTGCATGCATGAGGCCCTGAATTTGATTCCAAATAAGCAGCAAAAAGCACCATATAAGCAGAAAAAGCCAGAAATGACGCTGTGGCTCAAGTAGTAAAGTGCTAGCCTTGAGCTGAAGAGCTGAGGACAGTGCCCAGGCCCAGAGTTCAGGCCCCACAACCAGCAAAAAAGAGAAAAAGGAAAGGGACAAGCAACTTCTTGTTCAGGAGTACTAGAGGTACAGTGTATCTGACCTCTAAGACAAGAAAACCTCACTAAAACTATTATCAGTGTTGACACTCACCCTGGTGATTTTACTTAGAAAATACTGGTAAAACTTATGACAGGAGAGCAACAAACCAAATACCAAGTCCGAGTTCATGATTAATGCTGGAACTGGCCCTGGGAGGGGACAGGGGAACACCAGGAACTCACCATCTGAAATTTATTCACTTCTTTGGAGCTCACCTGGGAAAAAGAGAGTAAGAAGTGACCCTACTTATGCATAGAGCTACCCTGCACTCCACTCCATCTCAGAAGGCCCCATGAATACTCATTCTCATCTTTAAAATGCTTCCTTCCAACTTTAGGTCAGAATGTTTTTGTTTTTTTTTTGTCGGTCGTGGGGCTTGAACCCTGGGCCTGGGCGCTGTCCTTCAGCTCAAAGCGAGCGCTCTACCACTTGAGCTACAGCGCCACTTCCGGTTTTCTGGTGGTTTATTGGAGATAGGAGTCTCACGGTCTCTCCTGCCCGGGCTGGCTTTGAACTGCGATCCTCAGATCTCAGCCTCCTGAGTAGCTAGGATTACAGGCGTGAGCCACCAGCGCCCGGCCAGAATGTTCTTAAGACGTTTTCTATTCCATATTCCTCTACCTGGAGAATAAGCAAAGTAGTGTCTTTTTCTACATGAGAACTACACCAAGATGGGTCAGGCGGAAGCAGACCACTAAAGAAGCTGTGTTTCTCGGTGCTACTGAAATCCCTTACACAGTCAGGCATACCTGTAGAATTTGAACCTAGCTTGGGCTACACGACCAGACCCTATCTCAAAAAAATAAAAATATTTTGGCTCACCACAGTGCTGATCTTCTTCTTCCCATCGGTAGCTCTCAACAGACACTTGTTTTCTGCAGGCTCAAGACCCTCCACAGAACCCTTCCTTGGAATGGGTTTTGTTCGGCCATCATCTGCATTAAGATGACAACATGGTGAACATTACTACAAAGTTAAAACAAGACCAAACATCTGATCTGAGGAGGATCCCACCTCAGCTGAGTCCTAGCTGAAAAACTAAAACAAAAAGAAAGGCCAGAGGCAGGGCTCAAGTTGCAGAACACTTTATTGAGGTACAGGGAAGGAGTTGGGGTAACCTAACCCAGTGACAGTGCCCTAGTTCTGTTAACCACATCATCCACTATGTCAGGGTCGGGCAAACCTTGCAGAAGCTACTAGAAGATAGAAACACATCAAAGCATTGTAAACCTCACACAGGAGCTCCTCAGGAGGCTGAGACTTGAGCATCGCCGTTCGGAGCCACCCCGGTCAGTAAAGTCGGCGAAACTCATCTCCAATGAACCACCAGAGAACCGGAAGTGGTGCTGTGGCTCAAAGAGGTAGAGCGCTAGGTTTCAGCAAAAAATCTCGGGGACCCCGCCGGGCCCTGAGTTCAAGCCCGAGGGCTGACACCATTAACAAATCGGATGGTGGCAACTGTGCTCCCTTGCAAAAGATGACCTGCCTTGGCAGTGGCCCTCCGTAACCGGGGCAGAGCTCGGCGACAACACAACACGAGGGACCGCAGCGTTCCCAGGAGCCGGCCGGGCGGAGGGACCAGGGGCGGGAGCATGGGGGCGTGGCGATTGGCCCCGCCCACTTTCGGGCCCCGCCCCCTCCTCGCGTCCCGGCCGAACCTGGGGCGTGAGCATGGGGGCGTGGCGACTGGCCCCGCCCCGCCGAACCAGGGGCGGGAGCATGGGGCGTGGCAACAGGCCCCGCCCACATCCAGGCCCCGCCTCTCCTCACGCCCCCCGGCCGGCCGAACCTGGGGCGTGAGCGTGGGGGCGTGGCGACTGGCCCCGCCCACATCCAGGCCCCGCCCCTCCTCGCGCCCCGGCCGGCCGAACCTGGGGCGGGAGCGTGGGGGCGTGGCGGTCGGCCCCGCCCACCTCCACGCCCCGCCCTCCCTGGCAGGCCCCGCCCCCTCGCGCCCCTCGCCCGGCCCCGGCCCTCCCGGCCCGCCGGCCCGCAGCTCACACTTCTTCAAGGTGATGAACACGCTGCCCAGCGGGCGGCACTTCTGGAACAGCCTGGTCAGCTCCGTCAGGAACTGAAACACAATAGGCCCGGCCCCGTGAAGACGCTTCAGAGCCGGCCCCTGTCCCTCCCGCCAAAGCAGGCAGGTGTCCAGCGGAGCCCGGCGCCCGTCGCGTCTGGCCTACCTGCTCGCTCTCCAACAGCACCATGGCGGCGCGCCGCGGCCCACCGCTCAGCCAAAGCCCCAAACAGTTCGGGGCGGAAGTCGAGCCTGCGACGGGCAGGACTTCCTCTACTAGGCTGACTGCCAGTCTCTCCCACCAATCCCTGGCTCCGCAGTTCCTTTTCCCTCACGCCACCCCAATTTCCGCTCTGGCTCGCGCCTGCGCCCTGACACTCTCCTGTCTGGCCCGGCGAGGAAAGAACCCGGATGGCGGCGTTTCTGTTTCTGGGGATTTCAGTCAGTAACCGTAACTCCAGTGAGTAGGAAGGGATGAGAGCAAAAGAAAGGCTTGATGGAAACGTGGTTTTCGTGTCTGTCTAGGTAGATGTGTCGGGCAAGTTTCCTGACACTGCACACCCGCAGTTTTCCTCTTCAGACACCCAGGACGGGGGTGAAAACAAACACGGACAGACTTTCCCAGGGGGCCCCGAGGCCACCCAGGCCCAGCCGGAGGGGCGCAGCCCGCGGGGCGCAGCCGGAGGGGCGCAGCCGGCGAGGCCCAGCCGGAGGGGCGCAGCCCGCGGGGCGCAGCCGGCGGGGCCCAGCCGGAGGGGCGCAACCCGCGGGGCGCAGCCGGAGGGGCGCAGCCGGAGGGGCCCAGCCGGAGGGGCGCAGCCCGCGGGTCGCAGCCGGAGGGGCGCAGCCGGAGGGGCCCAGCCGGCGGGGCCCAGCCCGCGGGGCGCAGCCGGCGGGGCCCAGCCGGAGGGGCGCAGCCCGCGGGGCGCAGTCGGAGGGGCGCAGCCCGAGAGGCCCAGCCGGAGGGGCGCAGCCCGAGAGGCCCAGCCGGAGGGGCCCAGCACGCTGGGCGCAGCCCGCGGGGCCCAGCCGGAGGGGCGCAGCCCGAGGGGCCCAGCCCGCGGGGCGCAGCCGGAGGGGCGCAGCCGGAGGGGCGCAGCCCGAGGGGCCCAGCCGGAGGGGCGCAGCCGGAGGGGCGCAGCCCGAGGGGCCCAGCCGGAGGGGCGCAGCCCGCGGGGCGCAGCCCGAGAGGCCCAGCCTGAGGGGCCCAGCCCGCGGGGCGCAGCCCGCGGGGCGCAGCCGGAGGGGCGCAGCCGGAGGGGCCCAGCCCGCGGGGCGCAGCCGGAGGGGCGCAGCCCGAGAGGCCCAGCCGGAGGGGCCCAGCCCGTGGGGCGCAGCCGGAGGGGCGCAGCCCGAGAGGCCCAGCCGGAGGGGCCCAGCACGCTGGGCGCAGCCCGCGGGGCCCAGCCGGAGGGGCGCAGCCGGAGGGGCGCAGCCCGCGGGGCGCAGCCGGAGGGGCGCAGCCGGAGGGGCCCAGCCCGCGGGGCGCAGCCGGAGGGGTGCAGCCGGCGGGGCCCAGCCGGAGGGGCACAGCTGGAGGGGCCCAGCCCGCGGGGCGCAGCCGGAGGGGCGCAGCCCGAGAGGCCCAGCCGGAGGGGCCCAGCCCGCGGGGCGCAGCCGGAGGGGCGCAGCCCGAGAGGCCCAGCCGGAGGGGCCCAGCCCGAGGGGCGCAGCCGGAGGGGCGCAGCCCGAGGGGCGCAGCCGGAGGGGCCCAGCCCGAGGGGCGCAGCCGGAGGGGCCCAGCCCGAGGGGCGCAGCCGGAGGGGCGCAGCCCGCGGGGCCCAGCCCGAGGGGCGCAGCCGGAGGGGCCCAGCCGGAGGGGCGCAGCTGGAGGGGCCCAGCCCGCGGGGCGCAGCCCGCGGGGCCCAGCCCGCGGGGCCCCGCCCGGCCTTCGTGGTGACCTTCGGAATGGAGCTGACCCCAACTCTACGGCACATTCTTGAGCCCAGGAACTGTGGGTGGAGGAGTGAGTGTGACCCGTACAGGTAGGGTTCCAGATGGGCTCAGACCCTGCGGAAACCAAAGCCTAGGTAGACGAATCCATGAAGCCATCGAACGTAGGTAAGGAGCGGGCAAAGGGCGCTAGACACTCGGAAGAACATGTAAAAATCATCCCAGAGTAAACCTAACCAAGACGTGAGGGCCTGTCTGCTATTTGCTGTGGTCACGAATGGAAGTGGAACCAGGTACGGTGTTTGTGTGACCTGGATGATGCACATCGTGCACTTCCTTAGCTTCTGTCACCCTCTGGGACACTGGGTTATGTGGAGAGCCGTGGGATGGGGGGAGAAGGACCCCAGGAAGGAGCACGGGGCCCTCCCTGCCCCTGAGCAGCGCAGCACGGTGGCAGGTTCATTTGGAGCTTCATCAGGATTGGCCCTCAGCGTGGGCCTTGAGCACATGCACCTCTCAGGTCCACTGACTAATGAACACATAGCAGAGGGTGGTGATTCATACCAGTAATCCTAGCTCTTGGGAGGCAGAGGCAGGAGGAGGCAGAGGCCGGAGAAAGGTGAATTCGAGGCCAGCGTGAGATAAATACCAGTTGTAAGCCATCCTGCATTATAATTGAGACCTCTCTCTAAAATAAAGTCATAATAGTCACCTAAGTGAAATCTCACGGCCACCACACAATAGGCTGAATCTCTCTAGTACTAGACATGCCTGAGTCTGGCAGTTTGAGCCAGACTTCATCCAGTACAATGTAACTACTGGCCGAGTGTTCTTCACACATTCTTCTCTGGAAATGACTAAGAACACCTATTCTGAATTCAGGTCTGGGTTCACATCTCATCTCTGCTATGGCCTCAGAGAAAAATGACCATAGTAATGGTCATGGTGTTATAGACTTAAATGAATCAAAAGTAAAATTATTTTTTTCAAATTTCTCAGTTATACTAGCCACATTTGAAAGATGCCATAGCCCATATGGCTTGGACAGGGCAGGCACTCTATTGGACAATGTATGTGGACAGCAGTGAGCCTGTCATACAATAAAGGCTCAGTACACAGTGTCAAATTGTTATTGTGTATGGGACATACTCCCTCCATGTTTTGGACATCACCAGTATGTCCAAATGATTTCTGTCCATATCCAAAGGTCACCACTACTCTTTAGTTATTTGACTCATTATCATCATATGGACAAACAGTATCATTTGCAATAGGCAAAAAGAACCATTAACATAGGTACTATGAGGGCTGGGTGCGTGTTCAGTGATAGAGCACCTGCTTAGCAAATGCATGGCCCTGAGTTCAAACCCCAGTATCACCACAAAAAAAGGGGAAAAAAATAATACTGTGAAATAAAATGTTGCTAAATTCCAAATGTTTAGATGTCAAAATTTAAAACAATGAATAAAATATAGCTAACTGATGTATAAGATTAGATCTAAGAATAAATTCTCTCATGAGAAAAGTGGTATTGTTTATGATCAGTCAGGAATAAAGGCAGCTCTGGGTACAATAAAATTGAATTTATGTCAATAAGTCATGGTTAAAATTTGATGTTGTACAACAATCAAAATCCTAACCTGTAATTATCTGTGGTTAGGGTCATCTATCATTAATCAAATTTAGATGTGTAATAGAGATTAATGGCTTTTGGCCCTTGGAGCAGATTACTATGTGAGGAGAGCTGAGTCACTGTCTCCAAATCACAGGCTCTTCCCTCCGCCCCCCTCTGTGCCCTCCCTTTTCCCTGCCCCCTCTCCCAGGAGAAGGGTGGAATGGAAGCTGCTCCCACAGACCCTCCCACATCATGGGACTTTCAGCAAAGACTAAGGTAAGATGAAGCCTTTAGCAAGCTGTCCTGACATTTGCCTGGACCAGCATTGGCCTCCCCTATTCAAGGAGTCCAGAGATAGAAAATGCTACTCCTCAAAAATAGCTGAGGGGGGGGGTGCTGGGAAGGTGGCTCAGTGGTAGAGCACTTGCCTTGCATGCCTGAGGCCCTGGGTTCAATTCCTCAGCACCACATAAGCAAAAAGAAAAAAAGCTGGAAGTGGCGCTGTGGCTCAAGTGGTAGAGCGCTAGCCTTGAGCTGAAGAGCTGAGGGACAGCTCCCAGGCCCAGAGTTCAGGCCCCACGACCGGACCAAAAAAAAAGAAATTAAAAAAATAGCTGAGGGGACACAGTGGGCCTAGATGACTATTCTTACTTGTACCACCAAAGATCATCTTTCCATAAATATGAGGATCATAGGTTTCCTTTGTGCAAACAGAGCAAATTTATTAAGACTTAGTCACATTAGAATTAAGGTAAAGAATTAGATGAGTTTGAAATAGGATCAAGGGTCTTGTTAGGGTTGATGAATTTATAGGTGTGGCTACTGGAATGCATTTAGACTTTTCAGTATCCAGAAAAGTGTCCTGGTCAAACACATAGTCACAAGTTGGGCACAGAGGTATACACCTGGAATCCCAGCACTTGGGAGATTAAGGTAAGAGGATCAAGAGTTCAAAAACAACCTGGGTTATAAAGTTACCATTTTTGAGACCCTGTGTCAAATTGGAAACAAAACAAATAAAAAAGCCAAGCAAACTATACTTGCCTTTCTCCTGCTGGCAGAGATAAAGTAGGCAAAGTCCCCATGCCCTCCCTCTAGGTGGCATCTCCCAGGCACAAGTGCCTCTTCTGGCAGACAGGGGGCGCCATGACCTCACCACACAAGCGTAGCGGCCGGCAGCTCCCAGTGCCTGCCCCATCATTTACCTTACACAGAATGACTTAAGATAGAACAAGATTTTGCTCCTCCAGGCAGAGTCCTTCTCCTGGATCCTCGTTCCCCGAGTTCTAGGCCCATATTGGTACTTGGTAGCTGATTGCTGAGGGGAAGTCTGTAGGAGCTTTGAAACAGGCTGATTTCCTTGCACTCAGGGAGTGAGAAGTGAGCTGATATCCATAGAAAGTTCACAGATACACACAGGCTAGGAAACGCAAGCGTACCCAGTGCTGCCCCTTCCCCCAGGCCATTCCAGCCTGGATCCGCTGTGCAGAGACAAGGTGGCCGCCCTCACCCTGGCATGCTCAAGCCATGTTGAACGAAGAACAGACTGTGGGATCTCAGGTGCTTGGGTCTTGGGGCAGTATATGGGAATTCCCAGTGCCCCACAGCTGTATCTCATAAAGAACCCAGGACCCCTGTGCTTGCACTCATGAAAAGGCTGGAAGGGCAGCTTCTCCCCTTCCGTCCATGACTTCCTTCCTTGCTCAGGAAGAGAGTCCAACACATCTCACCCCGGAGGGGGAAGCAGGC